AATTTTAAAATAAAAGAACTAAAAAATTTTTTTTTCAAAGTAAAGAGACTAAATTAGGGTTATTTTTAGGCATTTTAACCTTTTTTGGTTTTTTTTTTTTTTTTTTTGAAATTTTTGTTATATAATTTCAAATTTTAACTGAGAGACTAAAAAAAATTTAGATATCAAATTTGAGGGACCAAAAAGAAAATTTTCTAAATAAAAAGACTGAAAAAAAGTTTTTACCAAAATAGAGGAACAAATTAGAGTTTTAACTTCTTTCTCCTTTTTCCCTTTTTTTTTAAAATTTTTTTTTAAATAAAGAGACCGTAGCTGATTAACTGAAAACTTCTGGAGAAAATTATAAAACTTGAAAAACAAGCAGTTGCCATTGTTTCCACCGCCAAGTAATTAAGGGCGGGAAGCTACATTTCCAATTTCCAAATTCCAGATTTCCCTATCAATATATAAATGTTATAAATCATTTTCTTCTCTTTAGCAGCGTTTGAAATCCCAATTGAAATTTGAAAGAAAGCAAAACAGAAAATCGAAGATATGAGGTTTAAATCTAAAACCGATGAGATTGGGGCTAAGCATTTAGAGGAAGTGGCTCCAACTCAAGGTCCTTGCGAAACGCCGATTCCTCTGCGCTTGGTATCCTTCTTCTCTCTTTTACTTCCTGTTTGTTTCCTGGGAATCATGACTGGATTCTGTAAGAAAATGGAAGGGAAATGTTTATGTTCAATTATTTGGTACAGGCAAAGAATGCAATTGAAATTGAGGATATTTTAGGGGTTCTTAGGTTTTTTAACGATATATTTGGAATTGAGGGCCAAAAACAAGGAGGAGTATGTTTGGCTTAGCAGAAGCTTTTGTACAAGTATTGTTTGAGTAGAATGTTTTACAAGTATTGAATCATGATATTATGTAAAAAATTTGGTAAAATCCATTGAACTTAGAATTTTGTAATAATGGCTCAAATTAGTCTGTTTGTGTGGAATTGAAATATGACTCTTTTATTATTATTATTATTATTATTTATTTATTTATTTTTTTTGGTTGCAAAAATGTAATAGAACTTGGCAGAGGCGGATGCGAGTGAAGGATGTAATGCTGATAGTGAACATCATGAAGGAGAGTTTTCAGGACCTAGTAAGGGAGGTATGGATATAAATTGATTAGATGGCAAGTTTTGTGTTAGTTGTTTAATTCAAGGGTGCAGAAAGTGCTAGGTGATGGTGGGCGGTTGCTCACAGCTTAGAGCTTAGAGCTTAGAGCCTAGAGTGTATAGGCAGTGCCTAGGCTGCCTAGGTGGTTTTTTTTTTCTTAATAATAAAACTTTGATATAATTCTAAGAAAAAAAGAAAAAAATGTAAAATAATTTAAAAAATTAGAAAATAAATAAAAAAATTAAACATTTTTCTATTCATTATCATGTCTGAAGAGTAGAATTTAAGAAAATTACTTGGCATTTAATGTTTTTTTAATATAATTTTTATAATAAATTACACGACATCATTTCATTAGGCCAAAAAATTAATAAAAAAAATTTGCTTAGGCACTTTAGGTGCCATTAAGTGCGCTTAATAGTGCTTGGGTATGCTTAATTGATCTAGGCGGTGCAAATCACATTGAATTTCTGCCTAGAGGCTGTTGCAGGTGGAACGGCACCGCCTAGGCTGCTTTTTACAACACTGGTTTAATTAGAAAGGAAGAAAATTGGGTAATGTTTCACTTTGTGTACCAATTAGAGAAACATGTGATGCTTGTAGCGAGGTTAAAGGAAAAACAAGAGGGGAGGAAGGACAAAGAACGTGTTCAGCCGAAGATACTTAGAAGTTCTATTTTGTCAAATGGAGGAGATGCTCTGAATGATGTGCCAGCAAACAGTAATGCAGGGAAAAAATCTAGGAAGCGGAATGGAGTAGTCATAAAAACAAACATTTCAAGGCGACTCAAAGAACCTGCCATTTACAATATATTGTGAGCATCTTGATCTAATTAAAGAAGTCAATTTGAGGATTAATGATGAGTTGGTAATTTTTGTTGCCAGATCGTAGTTGTATATTTTCATGTGTCTATTATACATAATTTGAAATTGCAATCTTTTATCACGTGAGTTGTAGCATGGTCCCAGCACTTGGCAATGCAAGGCGTAGGAAGCTATACTGGACACCTCAAGAGGAAGATAAGCTGAAGGTAGGTGTTTATGAGCATTACTCCTTGCATTCTTTAGAATATTTGGTGATACTTCTTGTTTTTTGGTTCAGATAACTTGAATTTGCTACATTTCTTTACTCATTATTTATGTTCTGACCTTAAATTGTTTCTAGATTTGGTATATGTGATGATCAGCTGACCATGCCAATTTCTACTCAGTTAACGTGTGAATTAATTCATTAGAGCATTGCATGTACTTCTTCTTGACTGTGAGTTCAAAGTATCTAAAACAGAGTACATAATTGCCGGGCTTTTCATTCTGAATATTGGGAGGAAAACAATATGAATTAAGAGTATTGACTTCCAAGATTCAATAACTAAAGACCCTAACTGGCATTTAAATGATTTGTTGGCCTCATTCATGCATTTCAATAAACAAGGTTCAGTTATGTAAGGGTCTCACTATTTGGAGTTTTTTGAGATATGAAATGCTTTATTTGTTAGGATGGGAATGTGGGGTTAGTGCTTGCTTTACATGATTCTGGTATTCTTTTTTGGCTTCTAGAGTCAGGATTCAACTTTGATAACCGTCTGCTTTGATTTTGCTATTTGCTTTACAAGAATTCTATGAAATGCATACTAGTATTAGACAAACTTTTAGATGCCTCAAGGTGACAATTAGCTTGATTCATTCTTTCTTTTTCTTTCTCTTCCTACCTGTTTCATTTTTTTATCATGGAGGGTGAAGAAGACAAATATAGCTTTTGCTGAGCACATTGGAGAAGCCATTCTCATTTCTTTGTCAAATTTAAATGTCTACTGCTTGCTAGTTAAGCTAGGATTAAGACAAATAGCAAGAACTTAGGGATCAATTTTGCTAACTAGTTGCCATTTATTCTTGTCCTGTAGGAAGGGGTGTGGAAGTTCTCAACAACAATAAGGAAAAATCTTCCCTGGAGAAAAATTCTAGAATTTGGTCAGCACGTATTTGATGTTACTCGTACTCCAGAAGACCTCAAAGATAAATGGAAGAATATGATGGCCAAAGAAAAGAATCCTCAGGAAGTGATGGGAGGTAGGTACAGCCCTAAGGTCCAGCTGAAGAAGGAGAAGCTAATGTTTTGAGATGTAGACGGTGTATGTTTTTAATTGTGCAGTGTCCTTTTTGCCAAATTTGTGAAGAAAATGCAGTTTCCTGTGTCGTGAGATGTGCAGATATTCTAAAACCTTTAGTTAGATATGGCCAGCAATGGGTAAGTCTAAATGTTCTCCAGCCCTCTGTTATATATGGCTAACTAGATATATATATTCTCCAGCATTTAGTAGGTTTTCCTTTTTTGGGTGCAAATGTAAATGTTCTACAGCCGTCTGTTATTTTTGTCCTGGGCTTTTAATGTTCGGCCTGCCTAATTAAAGTTATATTTGGTATAACTGGTGAGAAGTTTTTTGAAATTTTAAAAATTTTAATTGCATCAAATATTACAATTTGTAAATATGCTACAACTTTTCACAAATTAGTTTTTTATTCATTTCATTATAAATCTCAAAAGTATTGAATTTGTGTTTTTATAAAAGCTTTTTATTTGAATTTTAATGAAATTAATAAATTATTTTTATTTGATCTTTATTTATTTTATTTATAAAAATAATATTTTTACAACAATTTTTTTTAATGAAAGTTTTATTGAAAACTCCAGTCAAACCAATAATTGCAAAGTGGATTTGTGGATGTTGGCGAGCTTCTCGGTTCTCACCTGCCAATTAGTCCTTTCTTGTGGAGCTTCACATGGTAAGCTGACCTTTATTTTCTTTCTTACTTTTTTCCTTTTTTTTTGCCCTCACTCATGTCTACATAAAAACTTGTTTCCTTACTAAGTTCTCATTTCTTGATTTAGCTGATTAATCCCCTCCTCAATATATCTCCAAGGTCTAGATGCAATGTTATAATTACCCCAATCCTTTATATGATCTAGCAAAATCTCGGCTGAAAATATATTTTTGTTTAAGTTTTGATTATTTATTTATCACTACACAGTGTATATTTTCTAAAAACATTATCAAACCGAACCAACCTTGTATGTTACTGTATTACGGTATAGAAAATTATTTTTTATCATTTATTATACTTCATCTCTACATCAAAATATATAATTAGACTTTATGTAGTATGGTTTGATTCTAGTTTTTATTTTTATTTTTTATATTTAGGTAAGTACTATTATATTTTAAAATTGAAATTTTGTATAAAGATTTAATCTTTTTAAATATAATATTAATTACTAAATATATAAAAAATGAAAATTAAAGACTAAAATCTTATTAATGGAGCCTTAAACTTAAAAAAAAAAAAAACAAAGAGATTGAGTCGATGAAACAATGATAACGGTCTCAAATAATATAGAGGAAAACTTGTTCTTAAAATTAAAAAGTACACCATGGCAAAAAAATTAAAAATAAAAGGCATTAGTTAAGTGTAATCGAAATGAAAAGCAATAAGATCGTACCAAGTTACATTGGTGTAACTAGCAAATAATCAATTATTGAATTTAATATTTAATTATAAAAAAATAAACTCTAATTACTACTTTAATGACTCATAGTCATGGGTATATTAATAAAATAATTAAATATATTTAAAAATTAAAAATTTCACATCCATAATAATATAATAATAATAAAACGCAACAATTGCTTTGAAATTTGAAACTTGAGGCCTCACTTCATGAGTTCTGTTCCCCACGAAAAATGATTTGAGGTTTTTAGAGTCGTATACTTACGATTTAATTTTTTTTTGAATATATTCGCAAGGAACGAGTTTTGAACCCAGTCTGGAGGAAGGGGAATGCACCGGGGTGACTATTGTCACTAGGCCTCAAGGATCAGGTGCTACTTACGATTTAATTGGTGTTTGATACATTAAAAAAAAAAATTTTTGAGTCCATCATGCAAACATGTTTTTGGTAGACTAAATTACCATTATTTTTGTTAACAAAGTTATTTGTACT